TTTCTGGATGCTTTGCAAAATGCATAGCCAAAAGCAGTCACTTTTGAAAAATGATCTCCTGAATAATAAATGGAGTTGTTGTCACTGGTGCAAACATTTTTACAAGAAAGGCTATCAGAATTTCACATAGGAATTCTTGAGAGCATTAGGTTTTCTTCTTTTTGCCTCTCTCATGCTTCAAAGAATGATCTGTAGAAAATAATGAAGATTAAGAATTTAAAGTTTCAGAGATTTATGGGGACAGTTGGTTATTGATTTGGAACTCTAGAATTCTTGTCCAACTATGATAGATTATTGAAAACTTAGTAAAAGCTGTAGGCTTCAGTTCAGAGATTGGAAAATTAATTCAAAATTTTAGTGAAAAACAATAGCTAACCTACCTCATAGCAGCTGTAGTAATAATTTTTATTATGATATATAGCCTGTCTTAGAGCTCAATGCCTATTGTTTTGAGATAATAATTTGAAGACAGGAAGCAACAGGAGTATAAAACAAAATGTTTCTGGGGGTAGTAGGGATAGTTAAGGTGCATGCCTTAGCTGCTGGATAGACTTTATCTGAATTCATTGTTTTTGAAAGAAATAAACAGGTTTTTTTTTGTGAAGAATATTTTGCAAATGTTCTTATAATATACTCTTCCATTTATTTGATATTTAAAGAATCTTTTCCCTGTTGCTTGACTTGTATTTCCTTAAACCTTTAATCTATTCTTGAAAACTTTTATCCTGCATATGAGAGAGTGGTTCCTGATGGGGAAATAATTTCTGAGCTTCTTTGCTAGATGGGAGTGAAGCAGTTGAAGCAGTTGTGCCATGTGTGGTTCCTGAAACTGCAGCTTTAAAGCAAACATTCCAATGGGTCATTAAGGGCAGGTGCTCTCACTTTTGATGGCTCTGGAGTTTTTACAGCCCCTGTTCCAGCCAGCCCTGCCCACAGCCCTGCTGACTGCAGGCTGCTGAAACCTCCTGGGTGTCCCAGCCCAGAGAGGAGGGTCCAAAGAGCAAATGCTCCCTGCAGATCCTCTTCTGCTGCCTCCAACGTCAGACTTTGCTCTATTGCAGAGCTGATGTCACCAGAAGCGCTTTGTGTATTTATTTGCTTTCTACAAGACTTAATGCTTGATCCTGCTGCCATTGAAACATCAGTGCCAGACCTGCCCTGGGCTGGGACCTCCCTGGCCATTTTGTTGTGGGCTCTCCATTCCCTGGGGTGTCAGGCCTGAAAGCTTGGCATTTTAACCATGTGTGCAGTCCAGCAGGTAGGGAAAAGGACACAGTTCTGGCTGTGGGAAACACAGGGGAGGATGATGAAGTGAGACCTGCTCAGGTTTCTGCAGAGATGTTGGGAGTAATCAATATGCAGAATAGCTGAATTCTGGACAGTTCAGGTTGATAAGAGATGGAAAAAGAACAGTGACAGTAACTTTGCATCTCAACTTTAATGTGTGCAGGGCTGTTGTTCCTATGAATGAAAGCCCTCGAGCCACTGCAGTGGGTTGAGTTGTTCTCTGGTAGTAGCTTGTACATCTTTCTGTAAACGAGGACACAACAAGCAGGCACTTTTTGGGAGGCTGCAATGCTGCCTGGGAAAACCCTGAGGGTTCTTGATGGTTTTTTAATAGCCTAGACACAATGCTGTGAATATATAAACATTACAGTTTAGAAGAAGAGAGTGAAAGAGAAAATATTAAGTCTTCCTCAGACTTCAATTCTGATCTTCCCCACCCCCTGTCAAGTACCTTTGACAAATACCCACTGAGCCATCCTTCTGCAGCATCATTTGTGCTGTAAATGTGTTAGCTGCTGGCAATATGCTTCATGAAAAAGAGCTGCTTCCAAAGATCACTTAATTATAATTATGTTAACGGAAGCATTTTATTTGGAGTTATGATAGCTGACTAATCCGGATGCAGGTCATTTTTTTATTATGCTTGGGAGAGATCAAGGACTGTACACAGTGATCCATAAAATCCCATCCTGGTTAACTGTCCCTTCCAATACCAGTGTATTTAATCATGTTGTTAGCATGTGCATGATTTCTGTATTCCCTGCAATTTTGAAGTCAAGGAAGAGAAGCAAAATCCAAGATCACCATCAAGCACATATTGCTTAGCAAGCTCTCTGTTGAAGAGGAAAGATGCTTGGCAGAGATCAGTGGTCTGTGCATTGAATATGTAGCACTACATTTTTCTCAAACAGAATCTACTGAATTTTTACACTGAATTTATGACATGGTTTCTTGTGGTTCACCTTGTGTATCTGTGAACTTCCATCTGGTGCATCCTTGCCCACAGTGGGTGTTTTATCAGGATGTGTGGTCTGAGAGGTGGCAGTTGTAGTGACAGATTGTATGGAAGTATCAGTTAGTTCAGTATCAGTCAAAGATAAGAGTGAACTATAACCAAGTTCTGACTCATAAGTAACAGATGAAATCATACAATTTAGTGTGTTTTATTTCTACAAGTCTTTTTGGTGTTGCCTCTATACTAAAGCAGGTTTAGTGCTGCTGTCTTGCTGTATAAATTGATTTGAGGAAACACAAATAGCTTACTGTGTAATTCTTCAAAGTTTCACCGATTTGTTGAAATTTCTTATTTATCATGCCTGCTTCAGACTTGCACCATTTTCTTTACATTGCATATGGAATGTTGTTTACATTTTCCTAAATTATTTTAAGGCTTTGTGATTTTTTTTTTTAATTTTTTTTTCTACATGCCAATTGTCAAAATAAAGAAGAGAGGGAAACTCTCTGTTGTGCATACCAACTTTGGAAACTGTTTCACATTGAGGAAGGCAGGTGTGATGTGAAAATGACTTCCAGTCCTGAAGTCCTGTGTGTCTCTCTTTAAAAGGGAGGACAGGGACCTGTACCAGCAAGGTAAGGAGCAATTTGGAAGAAAAAGGAATTACTTCCTTTTTGCAGTTGGGAATAGGTACTGAAGTTTTTAATTTCTTCCTTTTAAAATAATTTTTCACAAAAGTAGGTACAAGTCATGTCTTCTTAGCTCTTTCTTCCTCTGCTCCCCCTTCCTGACTGTTAATCTTTGTCAGTCCACCATCCTCTCCTTGTTCCAGCACTTGAGAGCATTGCTGTAGCAATGAAATAATCAAATTCATTTAAAAATCAACTGTAGGATCTGCAAGGTGTATTCTTGCTTTGGAAGGCCAAGTGATGTTATTACTGAATATTTTATTCAGCCTTAATCTCTTTTTTCGTCCTTTATCCTCCTATCCATAATATGTTAATACAAGGACCATCAAAAGTTTAGTAGCTCTGTACTAGTTGTGTTTTGTGCACCATGAACTTAGAAGTCAGTTTTTTAGAGAAAATTTGCAATGTAATATAGTTGCACAAAATGATATTCCTTTGGTTTTATATCTTTGACTTGAAGATAAGTTGTTTGATTACCCAACAAAATAAAGAACAAACACCTCATGGTGAGGTAAACCGGGGAAAAAAATTCTTCCAACAGCAATTTTTGAGCACTGGATTATTAAATAACAGACCTCCAGGTAAACCTTACTGCCCAACCCTGCATTTTACATCTTACTTAAATGTTTTGAAATTATACTTGTTCTGGAAGGGTCTGCTTGTAGTGATCTTCTCCAAACCTCTCTAGGTATAAAGTCATTGGTCTTAAACCTGGAATTGAACTTCAGGTCCAGGAGTTAGAAATTATTCTTAATATAAAAACGCTGAGGATTCTGTCTGTAAGAATGTTTCATTTTTGAATGAATGTTTCTTCAAGCTTCCTCTTGGGTGGACACGTGAATGTTTGCAGAGTGGGAGAAGAAACCGGACAGCCTGGCAGGGAGAAGGATTTTACTTGTCTTTGTTTTAACTGACCAAATAGGATAGAACTTTGGGCTGCTCTTCCTTCTGGCAGAGATTAATGGGCAGGCTGTGAATGGGACTGACATAACAGACATTGTTTATTGTTCCTGTGCTCTCTGTGATTCAAGAGACTGACATGGACATGGATAAATATGCCAGTAAATCTTAAAATCTGAAATGCTCGTGATGAGCAGCTGGAAATGGAAGAATGGAAAGAGATGACCTCTTCTCCTCCCCATCCAACACTTAAGCAATGGGAACAGAAGGTCTAAAGGCCAGAGAATGTGGCCTGTGGTTTGTTTTCATGTTATGATTTTCAGAACATGTAGTTGGTTTCCTAAATTGATCTGTGTGTGTGCGAGGCCTCGCAGTGCTGCGTAGGAATTCAGTTTCTGAAGTGTTCACAGAGCTTCTTCAGGCCTGACAGTTATTTAAAGTGATCACATAAAACATGATTCCTCAGGATTTTTTTTTGGGTTTGCTCTGCAGAAGCTTTGACAAAAGGCACTTCTGAAGGGCCTTTCTACATTTTCCAAATGTCATTAAAAATGTTGTGGGGCACATACAGCAATCTGTCTGCATGAAATTACCTGACAGAAGTAATGACAGTACCTTTGCTGAAATGTCAGTGATGGGGAGAGAGACAGGGAGACTGACTCAGTGATCAGAATCTGATTTTATTGTGGGGTACAAACACTTATATAATATTTCAGGGAGACTAGTAATGTGTACTGCAATGATTAGGCTAAAATCACATGCACAAAGTTATGCATATAGCAGCATCTCTTGCTTGCAGAGTTTAATGAGATATTTCTTTTTCTGGTAAGCCAGTTTGATTTAATCTTGCAATGCAGGTCTAATTTTCAAAGTTCTGTTTGCTTTTGCCAAGGCATCCTGTTATCAAATCTCTTATGTTACCAGGTCCAAAGTCCATCATCTGTCTTGTGCCCCCCAACATTGCTACACTGCAATAGTTCTCTGGGCCTCTGGTGGTGGGTGAGAGAAAGCCTGAAATCCTCCCAGGATTTGCAGCGTGCCTCCCTCCCGGTGTGTGAGAATTCCTGTCACGTACGAGGGTGTCAGAGGTTTCTGTTTGAGGGGGAGAGAGGAGCCCAGTGAATGCCTTCAGCAGGGGCTTGTGTTGTGCCTGATGGAGTTTTTGCAGGCTGGGCTTAATTTTAGTTCTGTTGGTGGGGCTGGCGCTGGCTCCGTGCTGCACCGGAGTCTTTCTTTGAGCATTACGTGAAATTTCACGAACTGAGACTGACTTGAAAAGAGGATGCAGCCACTCTTGTTCCTTACTGAGCTAGGGGAGCACGCTGCATCTGTCAGCACTCCTTTCAAGGGTTCTTCTTTTCTTTAGCTACTTTGTGATTATTTCTTTTAAACTTTATTTAGAGAAATCAGTATGTGTACTCTGCAGTGAACAATTCTAAAATGTTCTGGAGAAATACATTCAGGACTGCCTGCAGTTTTTTGTCTCCTTGTGCTGAAGTCACTTTAAATCCATCACCCCAGCCTGTAGAGTCGTCAGGCAGAAATCTTGCTGGGAAGGTAGATGAGTTCTTCCTGCAGCAGATTTGCTTGAGCATACTGAAGACAGCCATGTAATAAGGTGTAGTAATGAAACCTGTTGGAATTTTAGAGGAGCACCTCATTCCTTTGATCTTGCTAAGGAGCAATGATTCAAGTGCTACAGATTGTGAAGGATCTGGTGTCGCCAGCAAGACGGAGAGCAGATGCTGCCAGGAAAGGTAAGAGCAGCTCTGGGATATACTCAGTGTTCTCAGGAAAGCAGAAATATTTCGGGAGTTTGGTTGTAGTTAAATTGCATACTTGATACTTAAAAATGCTCTTTGTTGTGGCATGTACAGCTGCCACAATCTGCCTTGGAACTATATTAAGCCTAATTATTATCGTTTTTGCAACTGCTGCTTTCCCAAAGAGAATCCCAGTGACGTTTATGATGCTGAAAATTGAGTTTGTCAGCATCTGTAACTGTTACTGTTGTACTAAAAATTTTCCTTTTTTTCTTTTCTTTTGTTTTTGTGGTCAGGAGAGCTCAGGATGTGAAAATAGCAGTCGTATTCTGTGTAATCCCATCAAAATAGTTTTTAGAGTCTTAATGCTCTAAATGAGAATAAGAGCAAAACCAGGCTTTAGTGCTTATGGAAATGAGAGACTGGAAGTACACAGCTGCACTTCTAGCTAGGTTTTACAATTAGATTATTTCTAGATTACAACTAACTTCAAAATCCAAAATGCCTCTTGCAAGTGTATGAAAAACTACTTGAAATAATCAATGATTGTTTGAATTCAATTGATGTTAAATGCTCTTCCTGTTTACTTCAGTGTGTTGAGCATTTGTTTTTTCTTTGCTGAAGTAGTGCCATCTTTTGTGGTATCTGTCAGCCATCTAATAAACTGATTAAACACTTCTTTTGTCTTTTACATCTTAATTATTTACAACTGCTAAATATTTGGTTTGTAGAGGAGCTAAATAATTTGTAGGGATAACTTAAAAATTCATTCTTACTAGAATTAATTTGCTAGGACTGATTTATTTGATATTGAATAGGTTGTGAATAATTTAGGATTTACAGCATCTGCATGTTACTGTATCATTTTTCTGTTCTGCCCTTATGTGTAATGTGTGGCTGTAGGCAAGTACCTCTATTTCAAACCAAATAACATCAGGCTGCTCTAATTGTAACAAGTCAGCTAATGAAACACCTCTGTAAGTAAACAAAAGCAGTGAAGGTAGAGCCGGGCTCAGCTGTTACCCCCTTATTCTGAAAGAAAAAAAGGTAAGCTTCCTAATTAATTCCTCAGATTTTGCAGTGATTGGTTGAACATCCCTCCCCAGAGCTGTACAGTTTGATCCCAGTGAATTACTTGAGTTCAGCGCTGCTCACTGTTCATTTTTGATTTGTGCTGCTTCCAGAGGAGGACGAAGGGACGGAAGCTCTGCTCTGCACGTACCTCACTAGTCAGGATTTTTATAGAACTACTGTAAGAACTGCTTGAAAAGATGTAACACCAAAAGCCATAAAATACTGATTTATAAGAACACACTCAATGGAATTGAAGGGAAAGCTTTGCAAAACACAAGGAAATGCTCTTTCTCAGTTCTAAGGCTTTCAGGGTTTTTTTCAGTTTGTTTTACTCCCTTAGTGAATGACATTAATTTTGGTCATTGTTTGGGTGGTATTCTCAAGCTACTACTTACTGAGCTAATTAGGGGTTAGCTCCTACAGAACCTGATGATGCATTTTGATGAGCAATATTAAGATCTTAACATTAAAAAACATTCAAATATTCTGAAGCAGACATTTACACAAGATGCAAAATGCTGACAGGTTTTGGTGATCAATACAGTAATTTGAGTAGACATTAGGTTTTTTTCTTCACAGTGTGCAACATTAAGCATCTGGTGTACATGAAGGGCTGTATTCTGCAGAAATGACTCATTCTCAGTATTGTTCTCAGTAAATAGAAAAATGGACTTGTAAAGAAAGAGTTGCTAGGAAGCCTACTGTGAATGTGAGGTGAATCAATTGAGACATGGGGGATGATGTGTGAAGTGTTTACCAAAATGCTTTCAAATTGGTGTTACTAAACTGTAAAGTTGTAAATCTCACTCCTCAGCTCCATCCTTCTCCTTCCCTTTAAAAAGCGTTTTTATTAGAATATAATTTCTTGGGAGGTAAATGTTATAAAGGAGCACAGTGTGTTAATTGTGTGTTTCGTATGTACTATCAAGTTAAAAACTTCTTTAAGACTGGAGGTCCTAACCAAGTAACTGTTTTTATAAATAGTACCTAAAGTTGAAGGGGGAAAGGATTCTTCTGCCTTCCAATTTTCTCAAGATTTATTTTCAGACTGAGGCTTAGAAGCACAGTTAATAGCCAAGAGTGTCTTTTTGCATCCATCATTCAACATCTCAAGCTTGTTATAAGGTCTGCAGTAAGCACAGCTACTGTGGAGATGAAAATTCAATCCCTGCAGAAGAAATTCCTGCAGAATGCCATTTAAAAAAACCCCATTACTAATGCTTCATGAAATGTAGATTTAATGGGGTAGCTGAAGAGCCTGACAGAGTTGTGGAGTCTAATTTGGTTTTTTATGGACCAGTCTGTTTTCATTGTGGCCGTGACCTATGCCACAGGTTAAATTAAATCTAATTTTCTGTATCATAAGAGGTTGATAAATAGGTGGTTTGCAAGACTAAATCCCACAAAGAGTCAGGCAGTGTGAGCATGAGTGTCCACCTCCTCTCCCAGTGCAGGACCTGTGGTTCTGGTTTTGTCTTCAGGCTTTGGCTGCTGAGACTGACATCAGAAAATCCTCCAGTGGGCCTCTGAGTCTGGCTTAGTGAATACATGAAGTGACCTAAACAGTCAATTTTGATTTATGATGTCTCACATTTCCATACTTTTTAAAATCTTATGCTATTTAAAAATTGAATTATTCAATATTTTTATGGAAAAAAAAGTCCTGTAATTGTTTTCCATAGTCTTGCAATTGCAGTGATGCTGAGTGTGTAGAATTGTTTGGTTTTTGTGGGTTTAGTCTTTGGGAAGCTCCAGACCCTTACCATGTTTAGATAATATCAGATTTGTTAGAGGAAAAAATTGCCACTGGTCATTTATTGTCAGAGGAATAACACTTTATATGCCCTGTAAGTCTGAAGGTGAACATGAAGTTGTAAAGAAATTTAAGAGGTTGCCATTATTTTATTTATGAAATCAATACTCTGCTTTGAACAAAATGATAAATCATGGCAATATAAAATTCTCTTGACAAGTGTTCTGATTTGAAGCCAAACATTTTATGAGATCTGAAACCTTTCTGAATTTTAAAAATAGTTCAAATGTTATTTGTCCTAGAGAAATCCATGTAGAGTATAAATCTACTAATTATTTTCTTCTTTTCCATCACTAAAATCTTGGTTGAAATCCAAGTTGTATAAAATTACTGAAGAAATACTCATGTTTACTTCTTCCTCCCTTCCTCCCCTTACAGATGGCTACAGCAGAACTTAATTGGCAACATCACCTTGATGTTAGGATATAAAAAGAGACGTTGTATTAAAACACTTCTAGCAGATGGGACAACTAAACTGAAATCACAGAATTAAAAAGGGATGCAGTGTTTCAGTGTGAGAGAGAGAAACCTGAGAGAAAACTTCAGTTTAATACTATTTTTTTTAAGAATGCAAGAGGAAGAATATGTTTGTCACTGCACTGTTTTGGGCCTATGAGGGGTGTAAATGTTGGGCCAGCCAAGGATAACTGGGTTTAAATTCTCCAGCAATAAATTGGGAAGTTACTGCCTGGATTCAGTGCAGACAGAGCTGTGGTGGTATCTTGTATTTCACACTTAGGCCTGACAAGAAATTAGCAGTGTTTGTTTGGTTTGTTTCTCTGGGCATGGACTAAGCTGATTAGTTGCAAGATGGAGAAAATAAAATCAAGGTCCCACATCAAGCAGTCGTGGTGTTTTCTGTTTACCTTTGGTGATAATGGAGGAAAAGTGTCCTCAATTCAAATGCATTCCATTGAGGCATCTACTAAAATATGAGAAACTTTCTTCAAACCCTTGATTTTTCTGTTTGTTGTAGCATCTTTGCAAGGAAGGCTGAGAGTTTTGCCTCTTATGGGAAGTTCCAGGGTTACCTGAATTTCTTATTTTATTTTTTCATATAATACTGTTATAATCCATGCTGAAAAATTTGAACTGATAAATGCTGGATTAGAAGTAAAGGTTTCTCTAGATTCACATACCTATACTTGTATTACTTTATTTTTTAAAGGAGACTGGCCAGAAGAGCCAAGTTAATAAAAATTAATGAGCTCTTCAGTGAGCTGCAAGCAGGGAGTTAATTTTTTTTTTTTTTTTGTCATTAAATATGAAATTCTGCCCACAGGAGCCAAGATAATTTATTGTAGTCTGCAGCCCATCAGTACAGATACACAGCTTCAATTCACAATTTACTGTGACAAAGTTTCCAGCAGTGTGACAGCATTTAACTGCATTTCAACAGTTCTGCCATTATTTGTGCTGAAGTTTCAGCTGTGGTTTCACAAATAATGAATGCTGGCAGAACTGACTCCTCCTGCCTTGCCTCTGCTGCTCACTTGGCTTTTCCATCCCAGTTCAGATCCCCACAGTGCCTCACCTTTGTGTGTGTGCCCAAGCAGTGACTTGGAGAGGGACCCTGAACTTCTCACTCTTGTTGGGCTGCTGTAACCTTGAGCAGTGTAACTAATCCACCTGCTAATACAAATAATCCACTGCTGCTGCAGTTCCAAGGAGGAGGCAGCAGTGGGATGTGACAGAATCCATGGGGACAACTTTCCTTCAGTGGTGCCACTGGCTGAGGCTAATGGAAATGCTGGTGGGATTTCCTTCTGCTGGAGTGTGAGGAATTCACCTCAGGATGATCCAGACACAAGCAATAGCACAGTTGGGTCACTGCACAGCTGGACACACAGTGTGTATCCAGAGTGTTTTTACCTAATAGATTCTCCTTCTGTGGCTGCCATTTGGTATGTCTCACCTTAAATAATAATAACTTTCATGGGTTACACTGCATTTATTATCCTGACATTTTATTGCCTTTCTACTTCATTTGAGATTTTATTCTTCTCCTTTGTGTGATGCCAGCTGCAGTGATTAAGAAAGGTCCTGGTGCTGCTTCACCATATGTGGTTGTTAATGGCTTATTTTAGTGTCTGTGTGTTTGGTTATT